TTAACCAGGACTGCTGATAGATGATGGAAAGTGTCTTGGTGGATCCCAGATCCAGCCCCATAGACTTGTGAGCATCCAGGTGGCATAGCAGGTCATTAACTGCTTCCTCCTGGACTATGAGGGCTCCATTCTGGTCCCCATCCCTATCCTCTAGCTCAGGGGCCTGAGTACCCTGGGGATGACCGGTCTGGCTGTTAAACACAGAGGCAAAGAAGGTGTTAAGTACCTCAGCCTTTTCCTTGTCCTCGGTGACAATGTTCCCCCCCACATCCAGCAAGGGATGGAGATCCTCCTTGGCTCTCCTTTTATTGCTGATGTACTTGTAAAAGCATTTTTTATTATCTTTTACAGCATTGGCCAGATTGAGCTCTAGCTGGGCTTTTGCCTTTCTCATTTCCTCCCTGCATGACCTGACAAGATCCCTGTACTCCTCCTGAGTTGCCTGCCCCTTCTTCCAAAGGCGGTAGACTCTCCTTTTTTCCCTGAGTCCCTGCAAAAGCTCCCTATTCAGCCAGGCAACTCCCTTAAAGATGCTCATTACATAAAATAAAAACGGGCAGGCAGTTATTTTGGAATAAAATTGTGGATGTTTTGTTCTGACTGTATTCACATGGAACAGTTTAACATTGTCAGAATGTTTGTAGTGTGGGGTTATTTTTGGTTTGTGGTTTTTTTTTTTAATAAATTAATCCAATGCAGTCACCTGCATTTTGCAAAATGATTCAATTTTGAGGTAATGTAATTGTATCAGAGGTTTTTTTTTTTCCCATCGATGCATATGGTGTGCAACAGTTCAATGAAAAGGCAGAAATAGTGATAGATAGGTCAAAAAGGGGTTTAGGCCAAAGTTACCTAGCCCTTTTAACATCCCTTAATAGTGAGGCGTCTCTGGATTAGACACTCCAGCCAGCTAGAGCAATGAAACCTGACCATGACATGCAGCAAGTAATGTTCTTTATTCCTTCAGTGGGATTTAATGAAAAGTCCAGCTTTAAAACATTGTTTATTTACAATTCACAAACCTTCTCTTTATTGATGTTTCCTTTTCTTTTAAATTTGACTTGTTTATCTCAGTGTGCGTGTACTGTTCAAAAAACTAACGTATGATGTGGGTCTGGTCTTGAGAAATCTTTGCAGAACTGTAGCCTGATCCGATGAGGATGGGCAGACTTTTCTGTCTTACTGGTTCTGCTTGCAGGGCTGGATATTTAGAAAGCAAAATCACTGTGAATGCAGAGAATTATGAATAAATGTTTAACAGTAGCAAAGAAAGCTTTGTTTAGTTATTTAGCTTGAGTCAGAGCAACCCACATAATATTTTAAAATAAGAATACTGAGTCATTCAACATTTGGATGGTGAATGCAGCAATTCAGGGAATGTCTGTGCTCTTTATTTTACAGCAACATGCTTTATCACTATGGATCTCTAGATTGTCTAATCCAGAGAAAATGAATGCATGTACACGCCTATGTAGGACTGCATAAATTTAGCCAATACTGTCAACCTTCTGTTGTTCAGGATAACAGAATAGCTTGGGATGGACTGTGTTATGGAAGAAATGGCACTGCTACTTACTAGTAGTGAAGAGACATCTATGAGGCTCCACATGCACCCAACTTGCATTTGACATAGCCAGGGATACAGACATACTGGACTCAGGATAGACCTTTGTGAAGCCAAACCAAGGGTCCAAAAGCTGCCTTCATGTTGCACTTCAGCTGTCTAAGGTGTTTAGTGTGGAGCCAGCTCACGTGTGTCTGCATCTGTGGTACAGAGTATCTACAAAGCAGCTAATCTGCTGGCAGATAAGAAGAATTTCTATGTATATGAAAGTATTCTTTTGTTTAAAATATAATAGTTGACTTATATAAGAAAAAAATGAGGCAAAACTGAAGGTGCACATATGTAAAGAGAGTCTTTAAATTCACTCCTCTGTTCTAGTGTTAAAGTAATGCCACTGAAAATATTAATGGGAGCAAAACCAGAGAGAGTTCTATCTCTAGCAGTTCCTCACATTTTTAACATGTAGGGTTAAATTAATGGGATGTTCTGTTCCATTCTATCATCCCTCTCTATTCAGTATGCACATAAATGAGGCATGGAAAAAGAATAGAAATAGTAGCAGAAGAAAGTTTCATCTCTCTAGACCCCTTTGTTCGGTTCAAGGCTGTAAAGGAGACAATTGGTTTTACCATTCAGTCCTATTTAGTATATTGTTTCTGAGTACCTAGTAGTGATCATTTTTGCCAAATGTTTGTGTTCTTGTAGATTAAATTCTTGTCCAAACCATGTTCCCAGACCTGTGGTGGGAATTTTCTTTTCTGCCCAATGTTGTCATGTGTTGAGCAAGCTTTTCACCATCCTTAAACTTTCGTTGCCTTGGGATAATATGGATAAGAGAGGGCATATTCTAAAGTAAAATAAAACTGGAGAAGATGATAAATATTATTTGTGGCTCAGCTCCAGTGTAAGTAATAGGCTACAGGAGACCTTGTCCCAGATAAAATCTGAGCACCATACCAGTGGGTTAAGAGAAATTACTCAGTTTTGAGAAGCTGAGCTCTCTTTTGCCTGTCTCTTGATGCCGCCTTTGCTAGAAAAAAGTATCGGGAGGCACCACTGGGCAAAATCAGGAATTTAATCGAGGAGGTGGGGATAATCCATCAAATGCCTGCAGCATTTAACCTTGAACAGCTTGCTTAATTCTCATAATGTCTGATAGTTTGGACAAGTTGGTTAGAACACAAGCCTTTTACTGTTTAAGTTAGCATGTTTGTGGCTAGTTGCTGAAAGTCGATAGCCTTTACTCAGTCTAATCTGAGTGCTTGAATCAAGGTAGCTTTTCTTGCTGATGGCTCCATTTTGCACAGGTCTTACAACTAACAGTCATTTTGTACACCACCTTTGTTTTGAAACAGTTGCAGTTACAGATGTTTGACATTGTTTGTGCTACCTCATGGGCCAATCGAGACAAATGCTGTGAGCTTCCTGGCTTGGTAAGAAACCTCCTTCAATAACTGTAGAATTTACCTTTGGCTTCTCCTTTATCAAGACAAATGTGTTTTAATGGAAATGAATGGCTAAGAGTTTTCAAAAAAGCCCAAGTCTGCTTGGGTTACTTGTCCTATCGAAAGTCAATGAGATGTATGTTTCTAAATCAAGTAGGTGCTTTTGAGGCATCCACACAGTACTATCTCCTAGATTCATAAAATTCTTAACTTCTGAATCGAAGTTTTAGACATCATTCTCTTCCTATCTTGATCTTTCCTTAGAGAGACGAGGAAAATTGCCCAGCCCTTCCTCATGCTTGTTCCTGTTCAGAAGCTAATAAGGGTCCCCTTGGACCTCCTGGACCACCGGTAAGGTTTTATTCAGGTTTGTAGTCAACTGTACCAAATAGTCCGCTGGCCACCTTTATTCCAAGACATGTGAATATACCACCATTGTATAACTAACAAGGTTAAATTAGGGTTTTAAGTGTTGGCAAAGACATAAAATTACATTCAATTTGTAGCAAAGTTTCCAAGTAATATGCTGTAAAAAAACCTTCTCAGCCAATAAGTCAGTCAAATTTTTAATGGCTTAATCAAGACCTGAAGCAGTTAGGATAATCTTTAGACCTTGAACCCCATCACCTGTCTGTAGCATTAGTAGATATGTCATAGTTAGTGCCATTTATTTTCAAATTTTTAATCACCTGCTATCTGTCTACTCTAGCATGTGTATTAAATACAGATTGGAGTTTAGCTTTCTGAAATGCTCAGTTTACAGTATTCTTATGAATTAAAGATGTGGGGTATGACAACACCATTTGTGTGATAAATGATAAAAGAAGACTTTTCTGTCTTAAAAGCATGACCTAGGTACAATATTTATTGGAAAGCAGAACTGAAAGCACTGATTCTGAGAGCTCCTGAGAGGTCCTAGAGGCAGAGAGGTACCCAAAATTGATGAAGGGAAGAGAGGATAAGATGAACTGGCTTTGGTGAAAGCTGAATTGAAGCTTTTTCTAGCTTGCCAGTGAATGATGAAATACACACTGTCACAACTTTTACCTATACTTTGTGGTGTTACTTTGATAGCACTCATCTAAGTGTTTACTGTGTAAATGTTAAGTAAGTGTATATCTAAGTCCCTTGCGTAACCAGTGGAACTAGGTAGTCTCTTCTAGAAGACAATTATTTAACTTTCCTTCCATCTCAGTGTAGTATCTTAGAAAGAGGGAATAAATCTCCTTTCTTTTTACTGGCTTGTGGAAGAACCCAGACAATGGATCAGACCAGACAATGGAGATACATGTCACTAAATTTAGATAACTCAGTCTCACATCGCAAGGCTGATTTTTAGCAGTTTAGAAAAGTTGTAGGTTCTGTTTGCAATGGTCTGTTATTGGTTTGGTTTAATGAGAATCCTAACTGGGATGTTTATAGAACGGTCATGTGTTTTTTCTTTTACAACTAGATTGATAACTCTGATTGTCATCTTAGGGCTGCTTGCTAAGTTAGCTTGAGATGAGGCCCTCTTGTGAACAAGTTTGAACTGCATGTTTCTCTGCTCATACTGTGTCCTGGATGCTCCAAGAGCATGTTTTGAAGAGAAAGAGCCAGTGAAGAATGAGAAGGAAAATAAGTTTCTGGAAAGGTTAAAGGATGCAAATTACATGAGATGCATGTTCAACAACAAAATTAACTTGCACATAAGGCATTCACCTCGTAGATCTTAGCAGACATTTATCCTACTAACAACTCGGAGGTTAGTCTTTCTGCAAGAACTGTTTTTCAAGCTCTGGTATGAAAACTTGAAAAGGAACTCAGGAGAAAATTCACTGAAGACGTGTATCTTGAACTTGAACAGAAAATTATTCTGTTCTCCTATTTGAATGTAGGTTATAAATCAAGTATGGATTAAGGTTTTAATTTCTGTATATAGTTGTCCAATTTGTGTTGTGTGAAAAAGACAATGGGATAATTCACGCAAAAATGCAACTGAAATTGAGTAGTTTGACCACATTTCACAGTAAAATGAAAAATGTTTAAAAATTATCTGACTGGAAGGATGTGTGTTACTATAGTTCAAAACATATACAGATCAGGAATTGCTAAAGCTTAACCCAGCAGTAAAATAATGTACTTCTATTTATTACATTTAGGATTAATACTGTTTTGAGTAGCATAGTGCCATGCAAGAGGAGGCTTAAAATCAAGCAGAAAAATCACTGCTTGGGCAGGCAAGTATGTGATTCTGGAACTCAGCCTCTTTTAAGTGATACTTTTTGCCAGACAGTTAGATGGCATAGCTCTGGAAAAAAATAAGAGGCCTAGGAAAAAGTAGAGCAAAAGAATAAAGTCAGCATTCATCTCTGTGCCAACCAAAAGTCAGAAAGTCACATGTGCTATGTCTGGTCAATACTGCTCCAAGTCGTTAAAATGTCATGTGACTTTTCTCTAAGCCAAGGATTTTTCTGTTTAAAGGATCAGGATTCTACCATGTAGCCAGTTTTAGACATTAGACTAAAAAGACTCCAAATAAAAGGCTTCCATTTGTTTGGGATAGTAACGCTGGAAATATATTTTAAGCTCTTTTAGGAAGTGGGTCATTTTGGGTAAGACAAAGTATCGTTTAGAGTTAAGATTATCTGGCAGTTTTCATTATAGAATACTGTTTTTATGGCTTCATCTTTGCCAGAATTTGATCATGCTGTCTGAAGTTCCCCATGCAAAGAAAGATATCACACAGACCTGATGCCTTATTTGAAAGGAGTGCTGCAGAACTGGAGAAGGTGAAGAAAGAGACAAAAAATATTGGAGGACTGGAGAAGTTTAATTGCAAAGAAAACCTTTCAGTGCCTCATAGGTTTTAACTATTAAAAAGAAAGAAGGAGGTGCAAGTCACAATAACAGTTGATTAAGACCTGTTTCTGGGGAAAAGCACTGGCTATTAAGTTATTTTAAATAAGAGAAAAAGGCATAACAGGAATTCTTGGCTAGAAGTAAAAGCCAAAGAAATTAAAAATTTGAAATTAGTCACACATCTTAGTAGTGCTGGGGAGTAACCACCAAAACAACTTTATGAGAAAAATGAGGGAGGTTCTTGTGATGTTTTCATCTTAAATCAATGCTTTTCTGGAACTTGTGCTTTTACCAAGCAAAGATTACTGGGTTCAAAACATGGATAAGTGTACCAAATTCAGTGTGAATCTTAAAGCATATGATTTAATAGCTCAGCATCAGGCTATTTTTAAGTATATATTCTTACTCAGCAAAAATATAATCTGTTTCTGAGAACAAAATGGGAGAAAATAGTGTGATTTTGTGTATGTTAGAAAGTTGCAGTTATTTTGCTGAGTATTTGCATAGGAATTTTTAATCTGAGAGAGAGGTAGGAGAAAGGGCCAAGGGAGTTACTGGGCTGGAATGCAGAAATGTGAGGATGTGGAATTTGGGAACTGGCAACTGGAACACCGTTCTGTGGAGAGCATGGGATGAGATTTTAGGGTTGGAGCTGACTGTGATGAACGGGTTGTGGCCATAGAGCTGTGGGATGGAAGTGAGAAGACAGAAGGAGCTGGGACAAGGAGTAGAAAATTGCTCTGTGATCACATATATGAAGACTATGTCATGACACCTTCATTGAAGAGCAAGAGTACTCTGGTACTTCCAAACATTTCTTTTATTGGCATTCCTATTTAAAGTCTCATAGATACTACATATGCATTTAATCTGATAAGCATATTTTCTATTTTTATGTCTTTAATGTAACTGCTGTTATTTTTGTAAGTACTTATTGTAGCCTCTAAAGAACGCTGTTCAGTTATGGTGCCTAGTTGTACAAGTCCTTTTTGATTACAAAGAAGGGCAGAATCCCTGTAAAGCTCATATCCCAAAAGATTCAGCAATATACTCACGTAGGGGAAGAGGGAAATTGGTCTGAAAAAAGTGGAAAAAAATAAAAGAATCTTTATTTATGCTGTCCTAGAGGACAAAGCACATGCATGTGTATGCAAAACACGTTCATGGCAGCCATCCATAGATATATGCAACTCCAGTGTCTCAGACAATAGTAATAAAAAAGGCAACAGTTGGTTAATAAATGATTAACAGATGTAAGCACTGCTGAAGAAAGCAAAAAAGACAAAAATGAGCAAAAGAGTATTTTACCTAAGAGTAGCTCTAAATTAAACCATGGTAAGTCTAGTAGATCCTGGAGTTGTCCTTGCTGAAAAATATTCCGGAGTCATTGGAATCATAGAATCATTTAGGTTAGAAAAGACCTTTAAGACTATCGAGTCCAACCATTAACCTAAGACTGCCAAGTCCACCACTAAACCATGTTCCTAAGCACCACATCTACATGTCTTTTAAATACCTTCAGGGATGGGGACTCAACCACTTCCCTGGGCAGCCTGGGCAGCAATGCTTGACAACCCTTTCAGTGAAGAATTTCTTCCTAATATCCAGTCCAAACCTCCCCTGGCACAACTTGAGGCCATTTCCTCTCATCCTATCGCTTGTCATTTGGGAGGAGAGACCAACACCCACCTCACTACAACCTCCTTTCAGGTAGTTGTAGAGAGCGATAAGGTCTCCCCTCAGCCTCCTCTTCTCCAGGCTAAACAACCCCAGTTCCCTCAGCCGCTCCTCATAAGACTTGTGCTCTAGACCCTTCACCAGCTTCATTGCTCTTCTCTGGACATGCTCCAGCACCTCAATGTCTTTCTTGTAGTGAGGGGCCCAAAACTGGACACAGTATTTGAGGTGTGGCCTCACCAGTGCTGAGTACAGGGGGACAATCGCCTCCCTGTTCCTGCTGGCCACACTATTCCTGATACTAGCCAGGATGCTGTTGGCCTTATTGGAAACTCAGCCTTTAACAATGCGGTGTTTTTGGTGAGAACAGAGAGATATGCAGGTTTCAGCAACTGGAAGGGGACCCATAACCACATGTATACATTTCCATTCCTATTGTAGCTTTCAGTGTTGTTTTGATGCTTACGTGGTGTGCATTCTTGATGCTATAAGTAGTGAAATCTGTGTTTAAATCTGTTCCTGTATATGGCCACACTTATGTATGTTCTCAGTTTAATTACTCCAGTAGAAAGAGATGGACAGGATATTTGCTAATTCCTGAACACTGATTCAGGAGAAAGAAAAAACTGTCTGGGCTTATCTGGATTTCGTTTTTGTTTCTTTGAGAGTTTTGGTTTTCAGCAAGTCCTGTGCTTGTGCTTCACAGGGTGGTCCAGGTGTCAGAGGTGCCAAAGGTCATCGTGGCGATCCAGGTCCAAAGGTACTTTGTACAGCACTTTACAGTTAACAGATGCACAGGTTCTTGGTTTATCTCTGCTGCATGTAAACCTTGAAATGAATTCCAGATTGTCTCTGATGTCTCTGAGGAAAAAGCATAGTGAAATGCCATTGGCGTTTGGTGTTTCTGTTTTCATAACAATTGCTTGTCCTGTTTGTTCCTTGATGAAAGATATAAAATTCAGAATGCTGCTTTCACAGCATAAATCTTCATTTTTTTGTATTTATGAAGGAACCAGGCAGTTTTAAATTGAACCATAACTGCTCAATCAAATGTTAACTCATATTTCAGATGTTTTTGAGTCTATTGGTATTTAATTCTTCAAACAGCAGCTGCCTTTGTCCATATGATAACAGTTTAACTTATGTCCTGTGCTACTTTAGGGACCAGATGGACCTCGAGGTGAAATTGGTGTTCCTGGACCACAAGGACCTCCAGGACCACAAGGACCCAGTGGACTTTCTATTCAAGGGCTTCCAGTAAGACTTATAAAATCAATAGGGTTCTTTCCTGTGATGTTTTGAACAGCACATATCTTACACTAGACCAAATTATCAGAATCTGAATTTCAATATTTGAGGTGAAATCACAGATTTGGGTTGAACCTATAGTGGACGTGGGTTCAATGCCAACATTTCTGGTTTTATTTGGACCTGAACTTTTAGTTAGCTGAAGAGATTTGATCGCAGTTTGAGCATGACCCAGGTATTAGTATCCAAGCCTGGAGACAAGTGAAAAAAATTGCAGTGGGTTTTGTAACATGGCCCCAAACCAAAATGTTAATATTTTGTCTTTTTCTGGTTGTGGTATTGCTCATTGCAGATCAGTTCTGACTTGAAAGGTATGCCCAAGCAAGAACACCATATTCGCTGCCAAAATTAAGCAATAGTATTCAATACACTTACTGAGTCTATCATCAGAGATGATTAGGCCTGGAGTTTGCAATGCTGTTGTGAAATAAGTCTCAGAATTTCATCATGAAGACACATTGGTAGAATAATGAACCAGCAGCACTAATCTTGTTTTATATACATCTCTGGTAGATGGGTACACACAAGCCTTGAAATGTGGCAGATGGTATCTTTTTCTGCTAGACATTTTTTTCAAAATTTAATACAGTATAATACACTCTTCTTCTTACCCCCTCTGCATGATACTGCTCTACAATATAATGAAGTGATTTACCAAAACTGTATATTCTTGATGATGCTGTCATCAGAGAATAATACAGAATACATTAATTATAAGAATAGTTATTTGATAGAGAAATTGTGTTTCTGCAGAAAATTTAATTAAAATTAGTTCATTATCTAGAAAAATATATCTTTGTCAGGCACATGTAGTGTAGGAACATGTCTAGTTTCCATGGAAATCCATCGGTTTCATCATTACAGGAAATGCTTCCGAGGATTGAAGAGAAACAGATTCCTTTGAGGAGAAAAGAAAATAAATACCATTTTTGCAACATAAGGGCTATAGTTTTGTCAGGTTAATTCTGAAATCTTTTAAAATTAGTTTTATTTTCTTTATTTTCTATATTTGTAAATTCTTCATTTACAGTTTTGCAAATAGAGTCTGTTTCCGCAGGAAAAATAGCCTGTTTTCTTATTGGTTGCTTGGTTGTTTTTTTCTAAAGAAGCTGAAAGGAACTATTAAAAATATGAAAGTAAGCATGTATTTGGTTTACTGTGTGTGATTCTTAATTTGCAGGGGCCACCAGGTGAAAAGGGAGAGAAGGGAGATCTTGGTTTTCCTGGCCTGCAGGTATTCCCTAAGTTGTTGTTTAACCTGTCACTCACTAAGTTTGAATGTTGAATTGACATCATTGTGAATTTAGGGCACAAATTCAAAACTGCTGAGAAGCATGTTGTTGGGATGAATTTGAACAGAGGTTTAGAATTAGGAATCTAGGGTATGCCAGTATGCAGTGACCAAATCATTCAGGGCCTGAAGAACCTGTTACTTTCTTGACCTTTGTTTAACACTGAAATTGGGTCTCTACAGACTCAAAACCTATCCATTCTTAGATTTCTGCTTACACAGTGAATAACTAGCATCTGTTTGTTTTCACTTTAAACCCATTAAATTCCTCCTGCAGTTATCTAGGAGGATGGATCAGGCACTTAATCTTTTTGATGCCATCTTCAACAAGGTTGGCATCTTAAAAAGCTGTAGTATTCAGTGAATCTGACTCAGTTTGGTGTCTGGTATTTAGTATGGAGATTGCATTCCAATTTATTGCTGCTTTCCAGGATCTTTTGCTCTTCCCTTTTCAGATGCTCCTCTTCCACTGATTATATCCCTCCAGTATTTGTTAGTTGTTACAAGGTTCCCCCCTCTTGTTCATATGTGCTAGGGATAGTAAACTCATACAGCCTTTCCTCATAAATCAGTTTTGTTAGCCTTCTGGACCACTGCAGTAATGGTCCCAGAATACTGCTCTGCAGCCTTCATGAGTCAGAGTGACATTTCACCTGAACAATGGGGAACTGCAGGACGTAATTTGTAATCCTGCTCAGGCAGGATTTCACCTTGCTGCACTGACTTCAAAAAATATGGTAACAGCCTCCATTTTAGTAATGAGAGAGAGAAATAGCAGTTGTGTTTTTAGGTTAAGGTACTGATGTCATGCAGTGGAGTTACACTGAGATGACACTGGAATGATGTAGGAAATCCAGCTCTCTTTTCAGCTTAGTGGCACAGGAAACCTGACTTGATGAAATTGTCAGTGTTCTTAAGAGAAGATTGTAGTGAGGTTTTATGAAGCCTGTGCATTTTAACAGTGTGTGTTTAACCATCTCTCATTCACAGAAATACCTTCTGAATCTCTTCTATGGCCCCACCCATTATTGAACTCCCTAGTTCCATTTATCCAAAACATTTATCCAAAAATGTCATACAGTTTCACTGGGAAGTGATTTAGTTGGATTCTGTTAATGTGATCTCATCATTTGCCCTCCCTTTATAATGCTTAGGGTGTCCCAGGAGCATCAGGTTCACCTGGAAGAGATGGAGCTCAAGGTCAAAGGGTAAGGTAAAATTAATATGTTTTGCATTTGTTTTAAGAGTTTCCATTCCATAATGGATATGTTTCCCAGTGTGGTTGAGTTATTATAGTTTGTCACTTGTATTCTGTCATTTCTGGAGACCCATATCTCTGTGCCAATCAGCAGAGAAGACAGAGATAGGGTGGAGTATCCTTCCATCTGGTAGATCAGGGTTCAGAAATACTAGAGGAGTAATGGGGAGCCATGCTTCTGTTTAATGCATTTGATGGGACTAGATGCCGCTAGTTTCCAGCACTGCCAATTAGACCATTTGCTTATATGTTTAAAATTAGATGGTGGTTAAATGGCACATAATTAGCATGCAATCCAATACAGTAATCTAAATTTGCTTTCTAGCTAGTTAATAAATGACAGAGACAACTACAAGGGAATTTAATATTGAAGGTAAAACAATTCCTGTAGAAACTGCGGACATAAGGGAAAGGTGAAGAATAATATCAAAATTTAGTCAACCTTATTCTGCTTCTGGTAGAACAAATGAAGATACTTACAGTCTGTCTGGAAATTGGTAAAAAAATCTTCATATTCACGTGTGCAGTTAAACCTCTAAGTCCTCCTCCCTGTCTCCCTGGGGAGACTTTTGTTTCATTATTAGACAGCCACTGGCAAGTTGTTGTTAACATAATACTAGATTACTGTCTACAGCAGAAGTTCATTATGACATGAATTTTCAGTTTCACTTGAACAATATTTACATATTCATGATCCCTTTTTGGATATGTTAATGTAACTTGACCTCTAGAGAAGTCTGGACCTTCTCTGGATTTTTCTCAGGCATTAACCTGAGACCTTGTTATAAAAAAAAATCCTGATAGCAAAATGTGTATTTGAGCTCACTATTATGAATTTAAGCATTGGCATATTTTTGTGTACAGAAGTAATTCCACTGAAGTTACTGTAGAATTTGGGCAATGCATAGATGTTTTTTCTCTAAAATCAAGAAAAGAAAGTAATTTTATTAAGATAAAGATTTACACAGTATTATAATCAGATGAATAACCTTCTAATCAGATGAGTAGCCTTCTAATTTTCAATTAAGTTGTAGTGAAATATGAAGGTAAATGTATTCCTTTTCCTACTTTATAATACTGTGATGCCTTCTTCTGTATGGAAGCTCATTTTTGCATGTTCTTAATGTCTTCTTTTCTACCATATTGGAATTTTTTCCCCCTAAATTCCCGAAGCTTGGTGTCACCTGTTCATCTCCAGGTTAATAAAGACCTGAAGCTGATGGACATTTGGATTTTTGCCACCATGCTGTCTAATCTTGGTCATAGCCAGGTTGAGGTGACTTGGTGCTAGATGCTGTACATGTGAGTGGTATGTGCCTCTTCTTTCTGCATTCCTGATCACAAGGGACAGTGAGCATTCTGCAATTCAGGGAGAAAAGAACTCTGTGTTTTTACTTTATTCTGTAGCTAACTTTATATTTAGCAGTGGAGGCCCTCAGCCATGTCTTGATGTCAGCCAGCAGTTCAGCAGTCATCTAGTTTTCCCACATATGGAAGTCAGCAGGTTGTTGCAGAGACATGGTATTTCTGAGAAAAGCTGGCAGGAAGACTAGTGCAGCAAAGGCTTTTGATACAGCCTGGAAAGGTCATGCAGTGCTCATTCTGTAGAAGACCCCAGTGTTGTCTATAATAAGGTAGAGCAATTACATAAATTGCCATTTTTTATAGATATGGTAATAATGCTTTGTTCATGTGTTCAATTTCTTCTGGTGTTAATCAAAGAGGCTGGATAAATAGCCTGGATCTCATAAAATTAGGTCTGTTAGGCTGTTATTGTCTCTGTGTGACCCTTATGCAATATTGTCCAGCAGTAATTATTTCTATGGTAACAAATAATTATGTTATACTCATTTTATGGTGTTGTAACTCATTTGATTCCTGTGAAGTTATGACAACATAAAATGGCTTTTAATGGGTGAAGATTCAAACCAATGATTTCACTGCAGTCTCTTTGAAGGCCAAGCACTTGAGAAAGGCATAGTTCTAAAGGGCATAACTGCAGCAAAAACAAAGGGGAACTGGAAAATTCCTGAAAAATAAATTGCCTTTTTGTATAATGTTCCCTTTGTTGGGCTTCCTCCTGTTAGCCAAGATGCCAAACTGTTTTGCAGCTATTATAGTACTAGAGCTGAGATTTTTCTATGTTATTCTTAGTTTAGCTATCACTTCCTCTTTAGTATTTATTGTTCATTGAAATATTTTAATGACAGTGGTACCAGTGCTGTAAGGTACAGATGGCTAAATCACACTTATCTTAATGGGAGGTAAGCACCGATGTTTATTGGGAGATCTCTGAGAGCTTTGCTGAACTGGGGATAATGTGGTATTAGACTCAAGAAGTCCTGGAATGGAGATTTTTTTTCCTTCCAGTTGCTGGTAGTTGGAATCACTTCACTTTTACAGTTCTTTTTCCTTCCTTTTTGTTTTGATTTCTAGCATTCATAATTTCTGTTTTTATTTTTGAAATCTGTTGAGAAAAGGGGTTTTTTTTCCTCTTGTTTTAATTCAACAATTAGACTATAAAGGTTCTTTTTGTATTTCTGAACTTCTGCTTTTTAGTCCCTGGTTTATTTGGTTTTTCTTGGTTTTTAGTACCTCATTAAGAAATAGAGCATCTCCCCTGTCAGTTGTGTGAATTCATACAAAGATCATTTTCATAATGAAATACCCTCCCTATGAAAAAGAGTGGGATATAAGAAAAATACCATGTGAAGGTTGAATTAGAGTAAAAAGTGCATTCTCTGATAATAAAGCAAACTTTCTGAATAGGCATGATAATATTTCATACCTGTCTGGTAACTGGTTTAAATCTACATCTCAGACTTGACATGAGGAACAGTCCCCTCCCCTCTCATCAGCTTCCAGTTATAAAAGAGAGTAATAAAAGATTTTATAAAATAGAAAATGGTTTCTTTTTATTTTGTGGCTGGGGCTGTGGTTGTTTGGTGTCCTCTCTTGCTGTCCCATATTTGTAGCTGGCAAGAGAGAGAGGTTTTACTAAAGAGAACAGATTGTGTTTCTCCACCAACTCTCCCAAGCATATCATGTTGAAAGATATAGCTTGAATCGCACATGTGAGAGAATCCAAACCAACATCATGCTTCTGGTGAGTATGTAGACAGTAATTAGACTCTCTTGTGCTTTTGGTTCATCTCTTTCAGCCAAGACTGTAAAGTTTGGAAGCAGACTGAGACTGACCCTTGTTCAGATGTGTAGGTAGAGGGGGTAAAAGTCTTCCCTTTCTCATAACTTCATGGCTATTACCCAAGGTCAGGTCACAATTGCAATCCCTGTCCTTTCTTGCAAAGTGCAGGCCACCCGAGAGGACAGATCTGCACAGCTGCAACAAAAGAAGCCTAATATATCATCCTGATTGGCAAGTATGCTCTGCTTGATGACACAACATAGGGAGGGATCTCCATTGTTCTGACTCTCACGTTTGTGTCTCCTGTGCCTGTGATGTTGTTACTACTTGCTGTCACCTGGTGGTTTCCTCAGGGTTGTCTTCCCCTGGCCAAGCTTCTCCTTGGCAAAGAGGCAAGGTTCTTCCTTAGCAGGTTAAGAAGTTCCGGAGGAAGCTCTGTTGGATGTGCTTTCTTATATGTCTGCTAGGGGTGGGATCACAGAGTTAAACCATCAAGTGATTGATTCCTCTTGCAGCTAGTTTGGAGTCCAGAAGCATTGACCAGTGCTGCCTTATCCTGTTTGAAGACACTGGTCTGCAATAAGATACCTCTAACTGATAGAGAGGATGATTCAGTCTCTTAAACATTTCATCAGCTCCTAATGGCTCCTGTTCAGCTCACTCTGAGAGCAGGAGGGCAAAGAGACCAGCTGTGAGACACAAAGCCTTTCACTACAGGCTAGTAAATTAGATATTTCCAGAACATGTTTTTGAGCATTGGCTAGTGACCTATGCAGTCTAATGCTTGTCGTTCCTCTTCGTGTTGGGCTGGGCCAACTCCTTCAGGACATTGTTCAGGGGATAGCATAGATCAGAAGGCATTTCCATTAGGGAGTTTAGATGCACACTGTTTTAGTGGGATTTATAGAATCATAAAATTAAGGTTGGAAGGGACCTTCAGAGGTCATCTAGTCCAACAGTCTGCTCAAAACAGGTCTGATCAGATCAGGTCGCTCAGGTCCATGTTGAGTTGAATCTTGGACACTTCCAAGTATGAAGATTCCACAATCTCTCTGGGAAACCCATGACAGTATTAATTTAACCACCTTCATTGTAACATTTTTTTCCCTAACGTCTAATCACAGTTTCCCGTGTTTCCGCTTGTGTGTCTTGCCTCTTGTCTTATCGCTGTGCACCTCTGAGAAGAGTCTGGTTACATCTCTTTTGCCTCTGGTCAGGTAGTTTAGACAGCAATCAGGTTGCCAAGCAGAGCAAACCCACTTCTTTCAACATTTCTTCGTATGTCCTGTGCTCCAGCCCCTGAACATCTTCATGGCCCTCCACTAGGCCTGCTCCAGTATGTCAATCTGTCTTGTACTGGGGAGACCAAAAACTGGACACAGCACTCCAGAGGGAGTCCTAAAAGTGCTCTTCTCCTACTAAATTCAAAACACAGCACAATGCCTGCTACTAGGAAGAAAATTAACTCTGTCCCAGCCAAAACCAGGACAGAGGTGAAGAAGCACTTCCCTGAACCTGCAGCTGAACCTGTTGGCTGTGCTCCTACAGCCAGAATGTGGCTGGCTGCCTTTGCTGCAGGGGCATGCTGATGACTTGTGTTCGACCTGTTGTGCCCTAGGAGCCCCCAGGTCTTTCCCACAAAGCCACGGAAATCCAGTTATGTATGTTGATATGAGCTGTGTTACATCTTTTTCTCTAAGGATTTGTTTAATTTACAAGCAAAGGCATAGTCAAAGGGACACAGATACACAAGGAAAGGAATATTGTCTTCCAGAAGTTAATCTTAATAGCACACTGCAAATACTGGAGGAGAAATATGACTAACAAAAGATACGCAAGAAATATATATTTTAAATTATGAAGAATTAATAGTAAAATAATTTCAGACTATGAGGTTGTAGATGGCACTGGTAGTTTCACAAGGAAGAGAGGAAATGCTAAGTCAGCATTACTGTGTTAAGACCGAACTAGCCTATTTTGATTAAATAAAGGCTGTGTGTTCTGAGCAACATTTCAAAAAAACCACCCATACTTCTGCTCTTTAAATTAAGAGCTTTAATTTAAAATAAAATTTAAAATAAAATTAATTTTGTTGGTGCAAAATCTTTCACAAGCTACAGCTTAGACTGGTAGACTGAGATAGTGTTTAGTAATATTTCTCTGATGGTCACAGTGGTTTATCTTGAAAGGAGGAACATTTGTTTTTGAATTTTTCATCAGGAGAGGGAAAAAAAAAAAAAAGAGGAGGCAGTCATGGGTCCCAGGCTGCAGTGTTTCTTTTAAAAGCTGTACCTGAAAGTCTTTCAAGCCTGGACTTAGAAATTCAGTTAAGGTTTTGCCAGTATCTAGTCCTACTTGAAAAATCACCTCTCCACAAGTACCCCAAACAAATACCAGGCCACCAAAACCTAAACAGTTTTAGCAGCAGTACTGACTTCAGCAGACTTGAGACTTTACAGTGTTTTAGGTGGTGCCTACATTCTGTGATGCCATTCATATTCTGGCAAATAAAATCCCTTATAAAAAAATTCTGTCATAGGTACACTGTTTCTCCATAACTGTTTTTCATGCCATTAGCAAAATATGTCCTGATATAATTAACCTTCCAAAATAATATACATCTTGATTCTAAACCGCCCTACTTCTGAGGTCACACATCAAAATCTGTCCCATCCCGCTCTTGGACATGCAGCTCCATGGAGGATGTTCAGTGGCTCTGTATGGACTCATTCCTATCCTGGATGTGACTGCATCAGAGAGAAAGTGCTGTTGTGCTGTGTAATTCCCCCAGTCATTCTGGAGACAGTTAAGCAAAGAGGAGACTTCAATAAGTGGGAAAGTAAATAACATCTTTAAGGCTTCAGTGCTCAGAATACAACTTTGTGAATTCTCACAGTGCTCTATTTTCTTCTACATTACACAGACCAAAAATAATGGGAGAAAGAGACAGAAGATATACATTCCTAGTCTTCCATGACAGTTTCCTGGTACCTACTAATCT